ATGACACACCTGACATCACTGTGTCAAAGCAGTCCCTCCTGCCCTAACTCAGAGCAGCTCCCTTTCCAACTCTCCATTCAGCATTCATGGCATCACTGCCCTTTCCTTCACCAGAGCTCACAACATTTGCTCTGAATCTTCCCTTTTATTGCCAGTCTCTTCCCATTTACTATCAATTTTTCATACAAGGTGCCTCCCAGGAATGTTGCTTCTTCTTCATAAGCCCAGCCAGTTCTCAAGGATAATACCTCAACTGCTGTACAAGTGTCCATTCTGGTCTTCCTGCTTCCACTCAAGTCTCCTGGGCTCAGAAGTGCTGGCGTGCTCTTCTTCATCTTTAATTTTTATCACACAGTTCTACTGCTTGAGAAATAGCACTCCAAGGCCTTTATTATCTGACTTACCCTCTGCAAACTCATAGCTCATTACTTAAAAAAGATATTCTGTTACAGGTCCCTTTAAGGCTGTATTGTCTACCATACCTAATGCTAAGTTTTGATGGAAATCCATCGACATGGTATCATTCTCATCCCTGCCTTCTTACCAGAAAATAATGACCATAATTTCACCATTAACCTTTCACTTTACCTTTTACTTTTTTTTAAAGCGAGGAATCAAACGTCTGATTATGTATGCTCATGGGTGCTCGTATAATGAAAATGAAATTAATTCAGTTAACACTTCCTGAAATTCTTCTCTTTAACTTTACCTTGCCAAAGTTCACCTTCACAGTTTTGGTTAGAGCACATGGTAGAGGAGAAGTTAAAATATTACCACTCTGGTTTGGCTCAATTAAATACTCTATGACATTAAAATTCTTTTTAGATTTTTTTACCTGAAATTTTGTGCTGAAAATTTACACTTTTAGAAAAAGAAAGTTTTCTTTTTTGCTTGGTTGGTTGGTTTGGTTCATTAATATTTTTTAAAAATCTTAAAAAAAAAACAGTGTAAAAGTAACTTTTCATGATACCATGTTTTTAAGTGCCTGGTTAGGAGAGTTCGGACCTATTCACATTTAGCTTAAAATATTATTTGGGGAGAAATATGATTTATCGGACTGATTCTGGCTAAAATAATATGTTACTTGAATATCAGCGTTTTGAAACTGATCCTAGCTATATATATGCATGGTCATCTTTATGAAAATGGCATGAGAGCACAATAAGATTTTTACTGCTAAAACATCAGTTTGAAAATATTACCTGAATGGTTTTGAATAACTAATGCAATTCAGGCATAGTAGTAATTCATCAATATGCATATGCTTTTGTATTTCTACCTATAAAATTTTTTTTTATTTTACTGCTTCTTAATGGGTTTGGAAACTGTATGGTTTTTTGTTGTTGTTGTTTTTTACATCTTTATTGGAGTATAATTGCTTTTCAGTGGTGTGTTAGTTTCTGCTTTATAACAAGGTGAATCAGTTATACATATACATATGTTCCCATATCTCCTCCCTCTTGCATCTCCCTCCCTCCACCCTCCCTATCCCACCCATCCAGGTGGTCACAAAGCATCGAGCTGATCTCCCTGTGCTATGCGGCTGCTTCCCACTAGCTCTCTATTTTACGTTTGGCAGTGTATATATGTCCATGCCACTCTCTCACTTTGTCACAACTTACCCTTCCCCCTCCCCATATCCTCAAGTCCATTCTCTAGTAGGTCTGTGTCTTTATTCCCGTCTTACCCCTAAGTTCTTCATGACATTTTTTTTCTTATATTCCATATATATGTGTTAGCATACGGTATTTGTCTTTCTCTTTCTGACTTACTTCACTCTGTGTGACAGCCTCTAGGTCCATCCATCTCACTACATATAACTCAAGTTTGTTTCTTTTTATGGCTGAGTAATATTCCATTGCATATATGTGCCACATCTTCTTTATCCATTCATCCAAAGATGGACACTTAGGTTGTTTCCATCTCCTGGCTATTGTAAGTAGAGCTGCAATGAACATTTTAGTACATGACTCTTTGAATTATGTTTTTCTCAGGGTATATGCCCAGTAGTGGCATTGCTGGGTCATGTGGTAGTTGTTTTTTCTTTTTTTAAGGAACCTCCATACTGTTCTCCATAGTGGCTGTACCAATTCACATTCCCACCAGCAGTGCAGGAGTGTTCCCTTTTCTCCACACCCTCTCCAGCATTTACTGTTTCTAGATTTTTTGATGATGGCCATTCTGACCGGTGTGAGATGATATCTCATTGTAGTTTTGATTTGCATTTCTCTAATGATTAATGATGTTGAGCATTCTTTCATGTGTTTGTTGGCAATAGGAAACTATGTTTTTAACTAACAAAACAGTTGCAACCCTAGGAACCTAAAAAATTAATGTGCATGTGTCAGTCAGACCATTTACTCTATACCCCTATGGTTTTCACACATACATTTTTTAATCTTAACATATTTGCCATTTTTTCTTTAAATATTTACAATTTTGGAGTGGAAAGGAAGTTATAATTTTTTAGTGCATACACTTACTTTTACCTGAACTTATACTTTCTCCCCTCAAATTTCTAAGAAATAGTATTAGTGATGGGAAATCCTTTCTAGGAATTCATTGGGAATAGGAGTTAGATTACTTTTTAAAATTATTTCTTAACAGTGTAATTCAGAATGTTCAGTATAGATGATTGTGCCAAAGAATCCAACAGTCAGGTCTATGGCCTGACTTTGGGATTGCAGTGAATCACACCACACCAAAGCGTGAATTTGGATCAGTGCTTTTGTTTACTCTTTTATTTAACTTATTTGTTTTGTGGCTTTAGTTTGCTTTGGACTTTCTTGTATTTCTATAAAAGTGAAGGGTAACGTATTTTAAACCTTTGGGGGTTTTATATGATTTTAACGCAAAGAATTAAAGCCTGTGAATGATTCATCGTCTCATGGTTCCTGAAAGAGTTTATTCAGATATATATCTCCATCATCTTTATTTTTCAGTTCTCTTTCCTTGTTAGCATGAGGCGTTAGCTTTTGGTGGAGACATTAACAGTTTATAAAAAACTCTTCTTCTTTACACTCTTCTGTGGTCCTCTGGGAAGGAAGTTAAGAATGACAGAAAGCTTTCAGGAGAGCCTCAGACCAATTCTACGAAAAATTTAATTGTTTTTCTGAAGGAAAGGATGTTTCAAAGAAATTGTATTACCAGAAATACATGATTCAGTTTCATAACCAGTTTAATAAGCTAGTTTTTCTTTTCTCTTTTTTGGTTTTTCATTTTAATTTCATGATTTTGAAATTCATTCAGTAAAATTTATTGAACATCTATTATATGTACATAAAACACTCTACTAGACATTATAATCAAAGTAATCATTTTGAAGCTGTATTTCTTAGCTGCAGTATTTTGTAGTATTTCTACTTATATTTGACACTTGGAATGTTTAATCTAACTTAGGGAGATTTAGGATCCTGAGTTTGACATCATAACAAAGCTATTTTAGTTCATTTAAGGTATGATGATATATTGTGACAGCAACTGTAAAATGCCTGGTTAATTCATATGTAACTGTTATTTAATTAGTATAGAGTTACTTCCTTTAAAAGTATACTATGAAATAAAATACTTTCAAGTAATTTTATCAAACATAATTTTAGAAAACCTCTGAAAATATATGTTAAAAACTACTTATAAATTCTGCCTGATATTTTTATCTGTACATTTTATACCTATATGGGGCTTTTATTTTTTTAATAAATTTATTTATTTATTTATTTTTGGCTGCATTGTGTCTTCGTTGCTGTGCGCGGGCTTTCTCTAGTTGTGGCGAGCGGAGGCTATTGTTCTTTGTGGTGTGTGGGCTTTTTTTTTTTTTAAGAACCAATTCTGTTTATTTATTTTTGGTTGTGTTGGGTCTTCGTTGCTGCACGTGGGCTTTCTCTAGTTGCGGTGAGTGGGGGCTACTCTTTGTTGCAGTGTGTGGGCTTCTCACTGAGGTGGCTTCTCTTGTTGCGGAGCACGGGCTCTAGGTGCGCAGGCTTCAGTAGTTATGGCACGTGGGCTTAGTAGTTTTGGCTCACGGACCCTAGAGCACAGGCTCAGGAGTTGTGGCACGTGGGCTCAGTTGCTCTGCAGCATGTGGGATCTTCCCAGAGCAGGGCTCAATCCCATGTCCCCTGCCTTGGAAGGCAGATTCTTAACCACTGTGCCACCAGGGAAATCCCTTTTTTTAAAAAAAATAAATTTATTTGTTTATGTATTTTTGGCTGCATTGGGTCTTTGTTGCTGCACGTGGGCTTTCTGTAGTTGCGGAGAGCAGGGGCTACTCTTCTTTGCGGTGCGAGGGCTTCTCATTGTGGTGGCTTCTCTTGTTGCAGAGCACCGTCTCTAGGTATGCGGGCTTCAGTAGTTGTGGCATGCGGACTCAGTAGTTGTGGCTCGCGGGTTCTAGAGCGCAGCCTCAGTAGTTGTGGCGCACGGGCTTAGTTGCTCCACGGCTTGTGGGATCTTCCCAGACCAGAGCTCGAATGCGTGTCCCCTGCATTGGCAGGCGGATTCTTAACCACTATGCCACCAGGGAAGTGCCTTTGTGGCTTTTATTTATTCATTTATTTTAATAAATTTTGTGGGGAGGTGTCTTGATAAGCCAGTTGATTTTGTACCTGGTTATCAGAAAAAAGTAACTAAATAATCATATTGCTTTTCTGACGATATGTGTTATTTGGGGACATACAAATATCTTTGCTTTTTTTATTTATTTAGTTTTCCTGTTTATCTTTCTCTTTTTTTTCCCTGCTGATCTCTTATGCTTCTTTTTCACTTACTTCTGTTTTTAGTTATCATTGCACAGTTGGACAACAGTTTGAATTTAGCAGTTAGTTAAAAAGATCTTCTAGGGACATAATAAATAGAAATAAAATATATTATTCAGTTGATTTCCTTAAAATGTTGACATTTGATTTTCTCTTCATGAGGAATGTATCTTTTATATTGAAGCTAATTTATGTGTCTGAAGCATTGACTCTGAAGTGACTGTTGGAATTAAATGACTCAAATAGGTAAAAAGAAAGTTTCCCCAGATAAAATGGTTGAAATGCAAGCAAAAATTGATGAGGAGAGAAAAGCACTTGAAACAAAGCTTGACATGGAAGAAGAAGAAAGAAACAAGGCTAGAGCTGAGTTAGAGAAACGGGAAAAAGATCTTCTTAAGGCCCAGTGAGTATTACTGAATTGAGATGGATTTGTGATTTAAATTTCCTGGTTTTTCTCATGGGATGTATAAGCAAGAAAATTGAATAGTAATTAAAAGCAATACTACACAGTTGTGTAGTTTGATAGAGATGTTATATAATTATATTCCTATTTTGAAATTTTACATCCAAATCCTTGTTAAATTTGGGGAAATTTAGTAGAATAGTAGATAATTGATGGATACAGAGTGTTCTCGTTTTAATTAACAGACAAGAGCATCAGTCTTTGCTAGAGAAATTATCTGCACTGGAGAAGAAGGTAATTGTTGGTGGTGTTGATTTGTTGGCAAAAGCTGAGGAACAAGAGAAACTTCTTGAAGAATCCAACATGGAACTGGAAGAAAGGAGGAAAAGAGCAGAGCAACTTCGCAGAGAACTTGAGGAAAAGGAGGTAATGTAAATTTTGGTTTTGGTTGATGCTTCACCTAAGGTATTTAACTTTTCTAGTGAAAAGCTGAATATCTATAATCTTAATAAAATTTTTAAAAAATAAATTTATTTATTTATTTTTAGCTGTGTTGGGTCTTCGTTGCTGCGGGTGGGTTTTCTCTAGTTGCGGAGAGCAAGGGATACTCTTTGTTGCAGTGCACAGGCTTCTCATTGCAGTGGCTTCTCTTGCTGCGGAGCACGGGCTCTAGGCACACAGGCTCAATAGTTGTGGCATGCGGGCTTAGTTGCTCTGTGGCAGGTGGGGTCTTCCAGATCAGAGCTCAAACCCATGTCCCCTGCATTGGCAGGTGGATTCTTAACCACTGCGCCAGCAGGGAAGTCCCAGGTGTGCAGGCTTCACATTGCGGTGGCTTCTCTTGTTGTGGAGCATGGATTCTAGGCATGTGGGCTTCAGTACTTGTGGCACGTGGGCTCAGTAGTTGTGGCTTGTGGGCTCTAGAACGCAGGCTCAGTAGTTGTGGTGCATGGGCTTAGTTCCTCCGCAGCATGTGGGATCTTCCCGGACCAGGGATCGAACCCATGTCTGCATTGGCAGGTGGATTCTTAACCACTGTGCCACCAGGGAAATCCCTTAATAAAATTTTAAAGCATATCTGTGGATTGCTTTGAAAGATAATAGTTGCTAAACATTTATGTCATTTGTTAAATAATTAAACTTGTGATTTAATGAATAACATTATTCTGAAGTTTATCACTTTATGTCATAGCAAGAACGCTTGGATATTGAAGAAAAGTATACCAGTTTGCAAGAAGAAGCTCAAGGAAAGACCAAGAAATTAAAGAAAGTTTGGACTATGCTGATGGCTGCGAAGTCAGAGGTTGGTCTTTTAGAAGTTACCTATTATTGTAGTTTGAATTTTTTAGAAAAGAATTTCTTTAATTAAGTATGATTAAGAATCCTAAAAGAATCATAATGTGTGCTTACAATTTTAAAGAAATAAAATTTTTGCCTTTATTTGCAATTTGTAATTTCAGCTGTTAAGCTAAATTGTTTATTTCCAACCTTAACTAATAACATGGAATAGACAATGATAGATAGTGTTTTTCTGTCCATTGTTTTTGTGAAAGAACTGGGTAAGCTCTTACAAGGTTTCCTAGACCACTGCCCTGTGTCAGATGGAATTGTTTTGTATTTAAAATCTTGTTTATCCTTAGTATTTTCATTGATTTTCTGTTAGATGGCTGATCTCCAACAGGAACATCAGAGGGAAATTGAAGGCCTCTTGGAGAACATTCGACAACTTAGCCGGGAGCTTCGACTTCAGATGCTTATTATTGATAACTTTATACCTCAGGATTATCAGGTAAGTGGGAATTTCTCTGTCTTAGGTATTAGGTCACTTGGCTGGGGTTAAGGACTAAAGAAATATAATTTCTAATTTAATTAATGGTAAATATTTACATTTCAGTTGCTGATGATAAAATTTTCTTGAACTAATGGCTATCACATTTCACTTGAGCTGCTAACTGTTCCTAATACATGATTCTGTTTGAGTAACTAAGTATCTGAATAAGAATTTCTTAGTCCTGGGAGGAAGGCCAAATTCATGTAATTCATGTAAAGGTATAGGTCCTGTTTATTCTTTCAACATTCTTTATCCTATAATTAGAATAAACAAAACTCCTGTGCTAACCTTTTCTCCTTGTTTATGGATGCTAATTCTGTGTGTGTGTGGGGGCGGGGGAATGGTAAAACATACATAAAATTTACCATTTTAACTTTTTTTTTTTTTTTTTACATCTTTACTGGAGTATAATTGCTTTACAATGGTGTGTTAGTTTCTGCTGTACAACAAAGTGAATCAGCTATAAGTATACATATATCCCTGTATCACCCGCCTCTTGCATCTCCCTCCCACCCTCCCTATCCCATCCCTCTAGGTGGTTACAAAGTATTGAGCTGCTCTCCCTGTGCTATGCAGCAGCTTCCCACTAGCTATTTATTTTACATTTGATAGTGTATATATGTCCATGCCACTCTCTTACTTCGTCCCAGCTTCCCCTTCCCCCACTGTGTCCTCAAGTCCGTTCTTTCCGTCTGCGTCTTTATTCCTGCCCTGCCACTAGGTTCATCAGTACCGTGTTTTTAGATTCCATATATGTGCGTTAGCATATGGTATTTGTTTTTCTCTTTCTGACTTACTTCACTCTGTATGACAGAGTCTAGGTCCATCCACCTCACTACAAATAATTCAATTTCGTTCCTTTTTATGGCTGAGTAATATTCCATTGTATATATGTGCCACATCTTCTTTAACCATTCATCTCTTGATGGACATTTAGGTTGCTTCCATGTCCTGGCTATTGTAAATAGTGCTGCAGTGAACTATTTTTAAGAGTACAGTTCATTGACATTAAGTACATTCACAGTGCTGTGCAGTGATCACTACCATCCATCTCTAGATATATGCTAACTCTAAATACTAGTATAATTTAAAAATCTCAGCCTCTACTATTCTTTTCCCCAAATTTCTGTCTTTCCAGTATATTTTAGTGAACTTTAACATTGATTTTTTTTAACATCTTTATTAGAGTATAATTGCTTTACAATGGTGTGTTAGTTTCTGCTTTATAACAAAGTGAACCAGTTATACATATACATATGTCCCCATATCTCTTCCCTCTTGCATCTCCCTCCATTGCACCCTCCCTATCCCACCCCTCTAGGTGGTCACAAAGCACCAAGCTGATCTCCCACTGCTATATGGCTGCTTCCCACTCGCTATCTATTTTATGTTTGGTAGTGTATATATGTCCATGCCACTCTCTCACTTTGTCCCAGCTTACCCTTCCCCCTCCCCATATCCTCAAGTCCATTCTCTAGTAGGTCTGCATCTTTATTCCCATCTTGCTGCTAGGTTTTTCCTGACCTTTTCTTTTTTAGATTCCATATATATGTGTTAGCATATGGTATTTGTTTTTCTCTTTCTGACTTACTTCACTCTGTATGACAGTCTCTAGGTCTATCCACCTCACTACACATAACTCAGTTTTGTTTCTTTTTATGGCTGAGTAATATTCCATTGTATATATGTGCCACATCTTCTTTATTCATCTGTTGATGGACACTTAGGTTGCTTCCCTGTCCTGGCTATTGTAAATAGAGCTGCAGTGAACATTTTGGTACATGACTCTTTTTGAATTATGGTTTTCTCACGGTATATGCCCAGTAGTGGGATTGCTGGCTCGTCTGGTAGTTCCATTTTTAGTTTTTTAAGGAACCTCCATACTGTTCTCCATAGTGGCTGTATCAATTTACATTCCCACCAACAGTGCAAGAGTGTTCCCTTTTCTCCACACCCTCTCCAGCATTTATCGTTTGTAGATTTTTTGATGATGGGCATTCTGACCGGTGTGAGATGCTATCTCATTATAGTTTTGATTTGCATTTCTCTAATGATTAATGATGTTGAGCATTCTTTCATGTGTTTGTTGGCAATCTGTATATCTTCTTTGGAGAAATGTCTGTTTAGGTCTTCTGCCCATTTTTGGATTGTGTTGTTTGTTTTTTTGATATTGAGCTGCATGAGCTGCTTGTAAAGTTTGGAGATTAATCCTTTGTCAGTTGTTTCATTTGCAAATATTTTCTCCCATTCTGAGGGTTGTCTTTTTGTCTTGTTTATGGTTTCTTTTGCTGTGCAAGAGCTTTTAAGGTTCATTAGGTCCCATTTGTTTATTTTTGTTTTTATTTCCACTTCTCTAGGAGGTGGGTCACAAAAAGGATCTTTCTGTGATTTATGTCATAGAGTGTTCTGCCTATGTTTTCCTCTAAGAGTTTGATGGTGTCTGGCCTTACCTTTAGATCTTTAACCCATTTTGAGTTTATTTTTGTGTATAGTGTTAGGGAGTGTTCTAATTTCATTCTTTTACATGTAGCTGTCCAGTTTTCCCATCACCACTTATTGAAGAGGCTGTCTTTTCTCCACTGTTTATTCTTGCCTCCTTTATCAAAGATAAGGTGGCCATATGTGCGTGGGTTTATCTCTGGGCTTTCTATCCTGTTCCATTGATCTATATTTCTGTTTTTGTGCCAGTAACATAGTGTCTTCATTACTGTAGCTTTGTAGTATAGTCTGAAGTCAGGGAGCCTGATTCCTCCAGCTCCGTTTTTCTTTCCCAAGATTGCTTTGACTATTCGGGGTCTTTTGTGTTTCCACACAAATTGTGAATTTTTTTGTTCTAGTTCTGTGAAAAATGCCAGTGGTAGTTTGATAGGGATTTCATTGAATCTGTAGATTGCTTTGGGTAGTAGAGTCATTTTCCCAATGTTGATTCTTCCAATGCAAGAACATGGTATATCTCTCCATCTATTTGTATCATCTTTAATTTCTAACATTGATTTTTAAAAATTTATTTTGAATCTATATACAGCTTTAAGAAATTTGTCTGAATATAAGCCTTAGTATTTTTTTTCCTTTGGACCTCAGCTGCACAGAATTAATATTTGGTTCACAATATACTGTCCTTGATGGTCCTTGGATGGCCTAGTTTTGTTTAGTTAGTTGGTTATTTTGTAGTGAACTTGTCACCCAAAGCAAAAGCTAGGACCATGGTAGTGACCTTTTTCTAACCAAATGGTTTCCCTCTTGCCTCTTCTATCCCTTTACCTCTTCAAAGTCAAGGTAACCACCATCCTGAATGCCATGTTCTTTATTTCCTTGCTTTTTGTTTTTATACAGTTTAATTGAATCTACTTATATTCCTTGAAAGTGTATATTTTAAAATATATACAAGGGGCATCATGCAGTATATAATGTTTTGAGACTTAACTTTTTTACTTACTGTATTAAGATTTTAGTTCCATGAATATTTTTCAGTATTTTAAATGTTATTAAATATTAAAAGTAGATCATCTCTGACTCTTTTAAAAGGAAATGATTGAAAACTATGTCCATTGGAATGAAGACATAGGGGAATGGCAACTAGTGAGTATTAACCTTCATCCTTTCATGAAATACTATGGAATACTTCCTGTAAACTGGAGTTGTACTGGCTACAATGCGGAGAAAGGTGGTCCAGAGGATGAATCAAATGAGAAGCCACTGGGGTGGATAAGATGTTTTAATAATTATGTTATAACACACAGAATATTCTGTGTGTTATACATAGTAGAGATGGTGTAGGTTGGTGTATAGGACTGAATGACCTCTGGGGTCCCTTTCTATTCCAGCATTCAAATCATGTTTTATGAGTGTACCATCAGTATATCTCATAGTAATTTGCCTCATTCATAGTATTAATTGCTAATTAAGATAATTCTCCTCCCCTTCTTTTTTCCTTTTTTGAGAAATGTGTTGCCTACACCGGAAATAACATGAGAAAGCAGACTCCAGTTCCTGATAAAAAGGAGAAAGACGTAAGAGTGCTTTTTTTAAAAAAAAAAAAAACTACAGTTGGTTCTTTATAGGAATGTGGGTCACTAAATTGTGTTATCATGATATCTGTTAATCAGCTCAGCTGAAAAATAGGCTATTTTGAGAATAGAGGATCTAGGATGGGGTGATTATTAGGACAGTTCTGTTCACCTTCAGTCGTGATGCCAGGCATTTCTGCGACAAGAGTGGCATGTAGTTCTCTTTGGAGACTCTTTTCACCATCTCTCTGGGCCTTGGGGATTTGGTTAGAGACTAGAATAAGTCTGTCCTTTTCAAAGCTGGTCCTAGTATTAGGTCAACAAGAGGAAGTACTTGCAGCTTTAGGGAAAACAGCAACAGTTTTTCTTTACCACTAAGGAATTTATAGTGTGTCAGGGCTTCTTCACCAACACTTAGTAAATACAGTTGAGATAAATGGCATTAGAAAAAGATATCTTTAGATATTTATTTGGTTTTGTCTTTGGCTTTTTTTCCTAAGAGTTTATTTAGTATTTTAAATCTTCCCCCAAATCTGGTTTAAATTCTTCTGTAAGAATGTCTTATGTTTATTTCCTTTACATATAGCCCTTTGAAGTGGACCTTTCCCATGTGTATCTTGCCTATACTGAGGAGAGCCTACGGCAGTCCTTGATGAAATTAGAGAGGCCACGGACTTCAAAGGGGAAAGCAAGGCCAAAGACAGGGAGAAGGTAAGAACTGTCTTTGAGTCCCATGAGCCAAAGGCAGTGAGATTTTCAAATTAAGTACATTTAAAGGAGATTTAGTTAACATGATAAGTATTTTGTCTGATATATTTAACTAAATATTGAAAACCTATGTAGTTGTAACTTGAGTAAATAAAATCTGGCTAAAGAATTAAGGTCTTCCAACTTCTTTAGCCCTCCTGAGTAGTAGAATTTATTGTTAATTTACTTTGTTCTTTCCAAATGTATAATAAGTCATTACTATTTTAATTCCTTAATCCTTACACTAATTATTCTAGTGAGATGCTAATTAATTTGCCTCATTAGACTCCCACGGTATTGTATTCAGCTGATTCATTTTTCTGTCATGAATACTGCCCCAAGAACCTTGATTTCCTCAGTCACCAGTTAAATAAAACTTCTCTGTCTTTCCCTCTCCTTTGACTATTGAGTAGTCTATATGTATTGTAACATAGCCCAGAGAAATGAGGATGTGAAAGCCCTGGGCTGGAGCTTATTTCTTCTCTCCCTTCCCTACATTAAGTACTGTTCAGCTTATTTAAACTGACTAACAGACTTTGGGGCTCCTGAAGTGATAGGAAATAATAAGCTTATATTTTTCCCTACTTTGAGTACCTAGACTTTTGAGTTACGTGTAGGGTGAAGTCTAAGTTTTAATATTTTTGTGTAACATAATCTCATAGACATAACCTAAGTTTTATAAATTTGGGGAGGAGGAATCAGTAGCATATTAAAAGTGTACAAATTTTTACATTCTTCAGCATTTAGATGTCAGACATTAAAAGCATTTCATTTGCCAACAGAAGCCATGCATGTAATATTAATGAATGAAGCAAATCAATTCAAAGAAACACCAATTCCTCTATGTCTTTGACTTTTCCACTTTTAATGGAGGTATTTTCCTCTTAACTCTGCAGTTAGTAAGAAAAGTAACAGTGCAAGTATGATGATAAATGGTAAGACAGTTGCCCTCAGTGTGGGAGAAAAATAGGCAGCGGTGTGGGCTGGGGCAAAACGGAGCGTGTTCTGTCTGGAGTGAGTGGCATGTTACCCTGCTTCTAGTTAGTTTGGGGAAATAGGTCCCATGGCTTCTGGATCTTCTTGTTTCAAAGGAGAAGCCAGAAATCAGGATTATTTACAGGAGATCTCCATCTTTAGTCACTTTTTAAAAGCTATGTGGACCTAAAACAAACAAGCAAATAATTTCATAAGGTATTTGGATACAGTTTTCAGAACGCTTATTTTAAAATATATACGTTTTCGGTTTAAAAAAAAAAAAAAAAAAAAAAAAGTGTGAGCTAACATTCGACAAGCCAAACCCAGCATCTCTGTGTGCCAGAATTAGCCTGCTGTATTATGAAAACAGTAAATGGCCATAATTGTAGACAAATATACACGAAAAAAGGTTTATTGATACTACATTACTTTGCTTGACAATGTTCAATGTGATATTCCTCATTAGAAGCACATATTTCAATGTGCTAATAATAAGCAAAACTGCAATAAACATGATATATTAATGGAACATTTCCATCATTTCCTACACAGTCATCTGTGAGTTGTTGCTTCAGATGATTGTGACTCTGATTTTCACTGAATAAGCTGGCATCTTTAGCATACCCCAGAAGAGATAATCAGGGGGTTCAAATCTGGCAAGCATGCAGACCGCTTGGCCTGTCCACATTGTCTAGTCCAGTTTATTGTTCACTCACTCCTTCATCACTGTGGGTGGTGGAGTGGAGGGCCATGCTCTTGTGCTCACTCTAGGTGACCTTTCCCTAGCCTGAAAAGGCAGACATTAATTGATCTCATGGTCAAGCATGTCAAACCTTGTCCTGTTTCTAGACTCTGTGGCTGCCTGGTATTATCTACTACATAATGTAAAGTGTTTGCATTTCAGTCTTTTAGGAAAGCATTCATGTTTTCTTTTTCTCTTCTCCAAACAGAAAGCGTTCTGCAAAGCCTGAAACTGTAATTGACTCTTTACTTCAGTAAATGTTACAGACTTTAAGTCAGAATAAAAATTAGTGATATCCTCATGCCTGGACAAAACCTTTAATTAAAACACTGAAGACTTTTGTGTTATTTCAAATAATGGAAGCTGTAGATCATGAAGTAAGACTGGAACTAATAATTTGCCTAATAACTTTTAGTCTATATATATTAAGTTAATATAACATTAAAATTGTACAACTGGTAATTGTTCAAATTGTCATATTAGTTTTCAACTTATACTGTGCAGGGAAGTTGAGAGAGCAGCTTATACTATAGAGAGTTGCAGTTTAAATGTATACATAAATCTGCTAGTGATTTACTCAACTACTGTATATTTAGATAACCGGATATTCAAAATAGAAAAAACAATAATGTAAGTCCTGTTTTGCACATAGAAAGTTGCAGGTCTAATTGTCCTATGTTTTCCTGTTATATATGAATGTATGGGCTGCAAATCTAAGAAATGATTCTATCCTAACACCCACCTGGCCTTTTAAAATATGTTCTAATTTTTATACTAACATTCATTGCATTTAAAATATGAGATGGGTGATCTTATTGATCTGTAGAAAATTTTATAATTCGATAGTCAATCTTTAGAAGTATACATGTTTAAAAAACAAAAGTTGAAGATATGTTTCATCTGGACCTCTCTTGATTTTTTTTTTGCCTCTTTGACTTCAAGTCAAATTTTTTGTTTGTTTGTTTTTGTTTCATGTTTCTTGAAACATTGAATCTGTACCTGAATATATAGGAGTCACAGCTGCAGAAAATTAAGAAGCTAAATACTGGTCACTAATATTTGCCTCTATGGGTACTATTTTTTTTAATTCACTTTGAAACATGATTAACTGATGCTTTCCTGTGTCTGAGTTCTAAATTTTGATGAAAATTGCTCTGTTTCTCCCAACTGAGAAAGGTCTCCATTTTCTAGAAAATACAGACAAAGCAAGAAAAATATCTTTTAATTCTTTGCCTTTAAAACACTTTGTTTTGTCTTTCTTCTTATTTTATAAAGAAAATATTCTTCCCTGAATTTCTTCCATTGACAAATCCAGTTAGACCATACCTCTAAAATAAAAATTATTTTTATTTTATAGTAAAAAAAAAATGGCATAGAATTTTGTTCTTTTGTTGACTGCTTATAAAATTTTTATTTTTTAAAGTTATGCTACTCCAAAACCACTATATATATATATATATATATATTTTATGAGTTTTAAAATTATGTAATCAGCCCTGAAACACATTGGCTACAAGTTTTAAGACTTCATAAATGAGTATTTATTAAGTTAACATTATTTTAGTAAGTTTGGTTAAATATTGGTTTATAATTACAAAGATGTATATAGAATGGGAGTGAGCGAATGTAGCGTTATTTGTGAGGTGGTGGTAAAAATGTGTCCATAAATTTAAAGTACATTCCAAAGGTGATGTACTAAATATCCTGTGTATGGTGAATATTTTCTAGGTAATAAGAATCACAGTTAACTGGCAGCATTTTCTTTGTAACGTGTAAGATAGTTAGACATTTATAACTTTGTGGGGCATTGTTTAGGTACCGTGAGGACTTGAGGTGAATTTATGTCTTGTAAAAGCTTTGTGTAAGCAGAATATCTTGGCAATTGTAGATACATATTTAACTCTGTTAATAATAACTCTAGAGAAATCTTAATTTTACCAGTAGGAAAAAAATATGACTACTTCTTCTTTTTAAAAAATGCACGTGTCTACCCTTTATCCATCCAGTTAATAGAAAAGGAATAACTTTAGAATTAAGCTTTAAAACATAGAAAATTTAAGCCAGTATGTTAGGTTTTTTTTCTTTTTCACACCACAGCATGTAACAAAACGAAATCTATAAAAAGTCAAAACGTTGAGAAATTTTAAAAACAGGCTACTTTAGCAGTTTTTTTTTTAAAGCATTTACATTAGAACTGATTATACCAGATGGGCATTATTCATCTTATATAATACCAAGATTAGATATTGGAGCCAGGCCTGAGTATCCATGTGAAAACATGGGAACCTGACTTTAGAGCTCTTCACTTAGCTCTAATCATAGTAGTTCTATGGTTTCTTCACAGTTACTTTGTGTTGTTGTCCATAAATGAAATATTTTGTAACTTTGGTGTTAATTTCATGAAAGGCTATAGATGAACAAACTTGCTCATTATTTGATATAAGAAGCAGATTTAAAATGAGTGTCACATATAAGTAGGTTATTGACTGGCTATTTTTCTCTTTAATTTAAAAAAGTAATATTTATTAAAAGGAGCCTTGGTAGAATGTTGTTTGTGGTATGTTCTTTAGTAAAACTTGCAATTACATGTAGTAATAAGGATATTAAAATATAATAGTTCCCCATTTTTGTCTAGATTCTTGTGAAGTATAAGAGTAATCAAGGTGGCGGGTCTACATCTATGTGTTCGTCCCACAAGTAGAATCCATTTGACATGCTGTGGCATCTACTTTCTGGGAAAAGGGGACTTTTTTTTGCTGCAAGAAATTTAAGGTTACTTTGGGGGAGAGGGTGGTGCTACTTCAACTGTAACATGTTTTTAAAATTATGATTATAGGTTTCGGTTGTTTTGTTTCTTTCTAGTCTTTTAAAAATATTTTTTCCCTTAACTCTTATCTTAAGGAAAGTCCCTCCCTTTCCTACAGGGCTGTGAATTAAAGAACGGGTAGAGTTTACATTTAACTATGCCAGTGTCTGCCCAGTTTCTTAATGTATGCATTTGTTTTCCTTTTTAGTTATTCTTTGATCTAAAATGCTAGAAGAAAACATAGATCTTCCTAGTGCCTTTGAACTTATACTGTAGTCTAATTTAAATCATTAATAAATTCAATAGCATTACTACAATACTGTATACTGGCCAGAATTACAAATCATATGATAAGTTTGTCGTATTAATTTCAAAAGCCAACTTTCATTGTATTTTATGTATATATTGTATTTGTTCAAGTTGTATATATTGATATTGTATGTATACATACAGCATGGTTAAATAAGAAATAAAAATCTTTACCTAATGCCTGTAATAGTGGTCCGCTTCTTTACTGAGCTATTTTTGTGTTTATGTCCATCCTGATCTTAATAGGCAGGTTCTTTGTGCTTGGCTCTCAGTTTCATGAGGTTAAGAGAGACCTGTGTAATTTCACACCAGAAGCTCTTAATGTTGTGGGTCTTTAAACAGAAATCAGCATGATACAGAAACCTGGGAGAGATGTTTTTTAAAATGCCTTCTCATTGATAAAATTTATTTTCACCAAAAATATTTTAATCCAAGTTTTGTTATCCTTGTCATTAGGTGTTTGAGAACAGAAACTTAAAGAAGTCTGTATGGAAAATAAAGGTAAAAGGAGACGTTTCTTATTGGTAACGATATCAAGATATCTTTCAAAAACTTTTAATGAGCTTAAAATATCTCCAAAACAATAACATTGCTTGGATTATTGTTAATCATGTGTTCTTTGGACAAACATTTATTGATTACCAGGCACTGTGCTAGGCAGCCTCAAGAAGTTCACAGAGGACATTGAGAAGTTTTGATTTGTCAGCAAGTTTCAGAGGATTTCAGTGTGCTTTTTGTGTAGAGAGGGGACTCCTCTGGCCATTTCAGGTCTTGCTCTCTTCCTCTTCCCAACTGCTAGCTAGTGTAAAACTCCTACACATGCTTGTAGAATATGGAAATAAAATTAGAGGCCTGCCATAGTGTAAGCAAGATAAGCAATAGTGCACCTTCCCGCCCGCTGCCCCTCCTCCCCAGTTGAGTTCTGGAGCTGTGATACTATCACCAAGCGACACCACTAAGGTGCACCCTCAGGGAACCTATTACTGCCTGTGTTGTCAGGATGCTGCTGAGGTCATTGTCCATCCCACCTTCTTATGAAGACCCTCAAGAATCTCTTTTTAAAACCAAGTACAAAAAAACAGAAAAACCCCAAGTACCAGCCTAAGGTAACACAGTTAGTATGTGCCTGCAGGAACTGTTCGCACGATTCTGAAGCTGCAGCCTAAACTTAAAGCAAGCTTGGAGGAGCCTTCTAAGCACATGTTATAACATTATCTGAATGTCTCATTCTTAAGCTTTTTCATTTGCAAAGCAAATCAAGTATTCAGTCCTCCTTCGGAAGTTGAACAAATGTGTGGGAAAATGATTATGAAGAGGCTACTTCAAAAAGAACCTGTTTCCTCTCAGCATTTATCTTGGGCTTCCTGTGACCCAGTCTTCAAGTTACTTTTATCAACGTTATCAGAACATCACTTTGTCTTACCCAAACACGTTTATGGCTCTGACTAAAGAATATGACAGATCAGACATTCTTCTACACCTGCTCCCCTCCCCTACCCCTTTTGAGAGGGCTGGGGAAATTTTAGTTTTTAATCAAAGACTTTATTTCTCCAGTTTTACAAAGGAATTTAACTGGGACTTTACAACTGAATAAAATATTTCTCAGAGTTGATACCCATCTTCACAAGAGGATATTGCCTAACCCAACCTACCAGAGTCATTACAGAAATATTATGTTTGCCTTGATTTCTACTCCATCATGAGTTATGCCACTCAGTCACCAGGTGTCTTCTGTATTTACTGTGGACCCATGCTGTGCTGAGTAGAAGGTCCTTGCAAAGCTCATGACCATGTAAGTGGAGAATGACAGTGCAGCATGTTGAGGGCTGTAGTGAAGGAGAGTGAATGGTGAGCTACCAGGCACAGCATTCCTCCCTAGCAGCTGACACGGTGTTAGAGACTGAACGTTGAACTAGGAAGAAGTTGACACGAAGGACGGATTAGAAGAGAAACACTAGAGAGCTGAGGAGAGAACGTCTGAGTGCTCGGGGCAAAGACAGCTAACTAGGAGGTTTTAGTACTCCACCTGGGAATGGAGCTCCAATTGAACTGATGACTTGGACCAGGAAATCGGCTCCGAGACTAGAGAAAGTGCTTGCCTTGCCCTCAGTGGAAAGTGGTAGGAACTGCGAGGCTCACCTTGTATGCTGGGAGGCCAGGCCATGAGAGAGCTGTACCTTGCACTCTGCCCTGAAATTCCCCGTTCTCAGATGATTTGGGCACCCTGAGAAACCGATCAAGATGACATGCAGAGGAGGGTGGGAAACCTGGACAGGGCACTGGCTAATAGCAACAAGAGAGCCCCTGGGGCATTTTTATCAGAGGCCGGCATTTCTAACTTGCCCAAGAGTGTTTCAATGAAAGACATTCAGCCATAGATTTGAGCAAAATGTTTTATTCTTTCATTCGTTTATTCAATAAGTATTTATTACCTACAAATACCAGTTAGAGATAGAATATATTCATAGGTAAAAGGTGGAAGTAGCTGATAGCAGGGAGGGAGGGGATCAGCCTTTGCTCTCAGTGTCACACATTCCATGCACAGATAAGAAGCACGTCCTATGAAGTAGGTATGGGCTGTAACTAAGTTTCCTAAGTGAATGTGCTTAAGCGACAAGCATCTCAACTTTCACTTAATCCTGAAGTTTCTTCGCTCATTCTTCTTATGTATGTCCTCCTTGATTCATGTTCTCTCACTCCCTTGGTAAACTCCAGGGCTTACTGTTGGGTCTTTCCGTCCGTGGCAGACCTGCCTGGAGCCTGCATATGTCCCTTCTATGGCCTGTTCTAAATCTTTCTTCCAACTGCCTTTCCTTTTACCATTCTGGCCTCATACACAAACTATAACCCACAAGTCATATCCTGTGGCAGACTACAGCTCACATTAGCCATTGAATGCAAATGAGTCTCAATCAAAGAAGAAAGGAAATTAAAATTTTCATTGTGGCCTTAGAAGGCTCCATGACTCTCTTAGTTACTTGTTGCCCTTGGCATGCTGGTATTTTATGTGGGCAGGGTGAAACTGGCTGTGGTCAGGGTGAGACTTTAAGCTTTTGATTTGTTCCCTTATTTTGAAAGGGTTAAAAAGATGTTGCATGTTTTGGTATAATTTTAGTACTAGTATTAATTTTTGTCATATGTGTGTGAGCAAGAATGAAAAGAGAATGCTCATTCACTG